GGCCGGTGTTGACAAAACACTATTACAATCGAATGTTCCATATATTCGCTTGCTGACCTACTAAGTAGAGTACCCACCTCTGTGGTACGGATCGGGTCTGTGCCGTGTAGTGCCGCAGAATGGGTTAGTGCAGAGTACGAAATACCGAGAAGGACCAGGTTATCCGTCATAATCCGGTCGAGAAGCGAGAATGGGGGTAAGCCAAACCATGGATGAATTCGGTATGTGTTGGCTGGCCTGGATCGGAAGTATCATAGTCGGAACCAACAAGCGCGATGATTTGGGTTGAACCGATATTTGGAAGTAGTACTTCAACAGCGTGATTAGCCGGGGTATAGGGAACATCTGTTGATGTGTCAGGGACGGGTGAGGGTACAGTGGTTCTTCAACATGCTGGAGAAAAGATCCAAGGTGTTCGTGGAGGGTCCAGATACCGTGGAAGTCGTGGCACTCTTGTAATTGCTGAAGGAGATCAGGGCCAATGGGCGGCAGTTTCGGGCCTACCAGGATGCGTCGAATCAGTTGTTGGATGCAGGTAAAGTGGCTGGTAGTGAACTTGTGGGTACCGGGGCAGACAGGCCAGAGACAGCCATCGGTGCGGTAGTCGAGCAATGTGAACATGTACGTATTCGTTACAATCATAGCACAGAGCCGGATTGGTGTAGACTCGAAGCAGCGATTGAAGCTGTCGTGTCTGGCTGTGTCTCGGTTTGAGGTTGACGGTTTACCCATAACCAGTTGGTGGTAGTATTGGCGCCGGGCCATTGCCGCGATCTCCTTGTTGGACCAACGTTTTGTTGAGTTCTTCCTGATGTCGTCACAGCGTTGGCGGAGGGCTACATGGTCGGGTGTACGTCCGCCCGTGGGTTTGTGTACAGTTTTCAGGTGAGCATAGATACTGTACGGGAAGCGCAGTTATGGTTTATCGTGGGCCCAGGCGGGTTGCGTCAGAGGGGTAAGTGGATTTGTGCTGGCCATTGAGTCGAGTTGTATTCCCAGGCAACCTCCGAGGTAGTCCGCGAATGGTCGCGCGGGGAGCAGGCCGCAAAAGTGAAGTAAGTTTGTTTGATGTTTGGGAAACCGAGGGTATTTAGTGCCCGTGATGATGGCTGCTGCTTGGATGAGTGCTGAGTTAAAGCGCTCGAATAGGGGATCCAACGCATCCTTCCATATAGGCGGAGCCCAGACAATAATGTCCAGCCCATATGTAGCTGTGGATAGGATGAATGTTTTGAACATCACCAGTCGGTTGCGGAGGTGTCGCCAGCTGAAGCCATGTAATCCATAAGCGCGGAAAGAGGCGATACCCAGTGACAATGCTGCAACCAGAGATTCCATATGTCTAGCGAGGTTGATTCCTGGTACTCCGTGAGAGAGTGGGAATCCCAGGTATTTGGAGTGTTTCGGTTCGGCATGTGTGGGCGCCAGTTTCAATGGGAGGAAACGTGTGTTCCAAGGTGCGTCTGCAAGCGTCGGCGTGATAAGCTCACCATTTATACAGAGGGTTGGCGCCGCCTGTCACAAGTCGGTAGATCGTACTCGGGGTTTAACGACACCCTATTCGAGGCCAGATTTGCGTCCCCACGCATCAATGTCATCTAAGAAGGGCTGGAGCGAAACCGATCGAGGGGCTTGGAGCCGTGTGTCATCGACAAATAAATAAGAGCGGAGGAGCTTGGGCCGAAATTGTGCTAGCGTGACAGCTAAGGAATCCATGTAGATAATAATGAGCTGGGGGCCAACGATTGAGCCTTGTAGGATGCCATTCGTTCTATGGAATAGAGACGAGAGCGTAAAGCGGTATGTCACTCGGGTAGGGACTCTCCCAAACAGCGCGCGGAGGCAGTTGATCCAGTTTTCAGGCATTCCAGCGTGACGCAGAAGTACCCATAGGGATAATATTATTTATAGGGAGAGCGAACTTGTCGTATGCCTTGGTTATCCTCTTCTGACTGTGTCTCAGATTCCATGGCGGCAAGTGCTTGGGTATGACAGGAGTACCGTGATTTGAAGCCAGCTTGGGTGGCATGGGTAGCGGAGCCGGGGTGGCTCGTAATCAGATTAAGAAAGCACTTTTCAAAGATGCGTCTAACTATTTGCGTAAGCGTGATGAGGCGGAAGTCGGCGGGGGAGGTGATATATGCATCGGCTTTCTTTGGGTGCGCTGTCAGGAGGCTGCAGTTCAGGGCTGCGGGGAAAGTACCCGCCTTCAGTAGCTCAGTGAATGCTTCGGTAAGGAGTCTAATCAGTGGGCTATTGGCGTCGGGGCGTCCTAATGTTCAGGAGGCTGCAGTTCAGGGCTGCGGGGAAGGTACCCGCCTTCAGTAGCTCAGTGAATGCTTCGGCAAGGAGTCTAATCAGTGGGCTATTGGCGTCGGGGCGTCCTAATGTCCAAGGATTTGACAGATAGATTCGTGAAGAAAAAAATGGTATTACAAAATTATGACTTGAATGCGATAAAAGGGGTAGTGGTTTGCGAACGATGTAATAAAAGCAAATTTTGGGGCGACCGCAAACACACACCGTCAGACCAAAAAGCAAGAACACAAGCTGTAGCAAGGATACACAAAGCTACATGATGACACACAACGGAAACATAGATAGACAATGTATTTTAAGGGAGAATGTACAGACATGATCGAATGCGTGTTTTATGTGTCGCTGTAATATACGGGGATAAATCAACCGGTGCCTGGTTTGTCGACAAAGTCGAAGTTGCCAATTGCCTACTGCCACTAACAAAGAGGACGCGGGTCACAACCGATGAACGTGAAGGAGAAGTATTATATTGAAGGTAATACCTTGCCACAATCATATAAGTTGTGTCCATGCAAGGGCTCTATTAGAGAGTTTTTGCGAGTTAGGCGATCCTGGCGAAACAGATGGACAGTCACGTTTATCAAAGAGTTTGTCGAAGTGAATCGTGCTCGATGGAATCCAATGCATACAATGCATTCAATTTTTTTAAAAGAGGAGATGATTTTGGATGAACGTAGTATGGTATATAGACGAATATTGAGAGAGGACTAAAGATGTATCAGGTGCTCGATTGGGTGCCGGAACATGTTAGCTGAGAAGAAATGACTTGATAACTAATGTTCAGCCTTTCATAAAGTTGTATACAACCACAGCGTATGTATTGTATTATACGACGAAAATTTGAACCGATACCACCCATTACATGTAAAGTTTAAAATATTTACATGTTGGAGTATCACCATCTTAAGAACGTTTAAACTAATCATTGGTCTGGAATGTCAGTAGAAATCAAGTGCTCGAAGTGACCACTCTGATTTTGTTAGCTGACATCAACTTCTCCTTTAAAGAAAACTGTTTGTTGTCTTGAGTTTTGTTGATCACTTCGCAATATATATTGAACAAATTCCGAAAGTTTTCGTAGACAAGGGGGATGTAAGTGAGTGTCAGGCCAATTATGCATCGTATCTGTAAAATCAGCACAACGTTGCAAATTAACATGCCATCTCGGATTATTCTGTAATTGTCGGAAATGATGTGGAAAACATTGTTTTCATCGAACTGATTTTGAACCCCTGTTTGAGTTCGCGTGGTTGTCACCGCCGATGACTGAAACGTACTATTTGTCAAATTGTGTGATACTGTTTTCAAGGTGCTTTTTAACTAGATTTTTTTTTGTAGTATTCGAGTGCTCAATGTGCCCACCCTCTGTTTTTTTGTTGATAGCGATTTGACTGTTCAGCGGGATGCGCAAGTTGACTTGTAATTATCATCACATCGCAAAATAATCATCAAATTCTTTTGATTCTAAGTACAAATGTCCCTTTTGCGTATCCTGCTACTTGATTCCCCCATTGGTTTATAGGAGGAGTCATGGATTTGCTTAAACTGATTGTATATATACTTTTCGAGAGGTGGGTAATTTCACCCCACCATAGACACATGAACCCTACTCTGGTAGCACTTAGGAGAGTAAGGCAGAGGCTCCCTCTCCCCCCCCTCTCAAATTGCAAAACTTTCTTGGGCGAGGAGTGTTGTATTTTAGGTCGGACGCGTCAAGTATTTGTATGTTCATTGCAGTGTTGTAAACGAACCTAGCACTTTTTGTTTCTTCAGCAATGGCCAGAGACGGGATGAAATCACATTTTTCATTGTAATGTTTTTCAACCTTTTAGATTTTGCGTGGATATCACCGCATATACAGCAACGTACTCATCAACAAATGAAGTTACATAATTTTAGATATTTGTAGTATCTTTTTTATTGTTGGTAGTATTCAAGATCTCGAACTGACCGCCGTGTTCCTTTGATGATAGCGAATTGGCTGTTTAGTGAAATACGTTTGTTGTCTTGAGTTTTATTCATCATATCGCAGCAAATGTATCAAGATAATTGCCGAGCTTTTCGTTGATCAAGAGTTTGGCAGCGTCCGTCCATTTCTACATTCATATTTGTGTTCAGTACAACGTTGCATTTGGGAGGCCCCCCTTTTGGAGACGGTGCTAAGATACGTGTTTTACCGACTTATTTTTGTATCTCTTGTCGATTTCTTGTGGTAAACTGGTCGATTTTGTTTACGATCTGAATAATTTTTACATCCAAAGTCCCGAGGGTGTCCATCAACTGCAGACTTTTGCACCAGAATGTTGTCATCATTTTGCACTCGACGCCACACACATCGCCCAACGTAGATGGATATACTGTATTGTACACGAGATGTTACGAAAACTCAAATAGTCAAATAGACGGTGACGCAACAGTAGACTATCGCACCCCACATTCCTCCTATCCGGTCACAACACATCGAGTACGGCAGAACCTCACTAAAATCTATATAAGCGCAACTTAGATACATCTGCTATACACGTTTTATAAACCAAAGGAGCAGAGCACTAGAGTTGACAGCTGTATCGTCAGCTGATCTCCGGTTCGTGCATGCACCAGGGTGTGGAATATGATCTCCTCGACCACGACTACCACAGGTGTACACGATCCGGTATACGTTCCCCTGGGGAGCGCTGTGAGACTCTTACACTGATTTATTGTAAAGACCATACATAACCAAACGGCAACAAGAGCTCGTGGTTCGACTGTCCAAAGAAGCCCAGTATGTACAGGTTAACCTGGTTCATATATCCTACCGACCAGAGTAGAAGCCCACCAAAGACGACGGCCGTACTATCAGCTGACCTTCAGATTCTGTGGCATGGAATTCTCTGCTCCCGCTCCCGCCGCCCCCTCCTGTCTCTTTACGCCTACACATACACTGATCACGGTCTTTGTCACAGGCACACACACCTGCATGTGTGGCACGTTCGTCTCGCGGGGTGTGTGCTCGATGCTGTTGTCGCTCAATGCAATCGTACTGTGTAAGCCGTGGCGAGGACTCACGCGGATGAGATGACCCGGGTGTATGCCCACCCCCAGGCGTAGGCCGATCTCTTGGTTCCTCAGTATCCTCAACCCAAGCCTCGTACGTATAATGTGCCGCCAACCCCAGCAAGCAAACGTACAACAGCACCCACGACCGTACAGACACGTGCACACACACCAACAAAGCGACCGCCTGTTGCGGGAGAAGCCCGAATAAGCCCCGTTTGGAGGCCCTTGATTCGTGCTCAATGACCCAGCTCACCACCACTACCAACCCAACTACGCCTAATGAATGCATATCAGTAAACACATGGTACCAGGCAGCTTCGCTCGTTTCCATCTGTGCTTGTGTTGTAGCAGGTACGTATCGAGCTAGCGCAAAGAGCACCCCCTGTGCTATGCTAGACAGCACAAACCAGTGAGATGCTATAACCTCCAAGGATGTGGAAAGGTCTGCATATGTCCCATTCCCATTCCCGCTTCCCTGCATATGGTCATGTGTACGTGCCTGTGTACGCTCCCTCATGCGCGCACATCGTTGTGCAGCAGGTTCTCCTGGGCCACACTTGCCACGGCTGTACGCCTGACTGTGTGCGTCGGTGTGTGACGTACTCATAGGCTCGGTGTAAGGGGGCGGGTGCTCGGACGGGGCTGTGTGTAGTGCCAGTACTAACGAACTACCGCTGCCCCCAGTGCTGATCTCACTACTACTACTACTACTACCTTGACTACCGGGACATAAAACACCGTTGTTGGCGACACCTCCACCAGAACCGATTGCCTCGGCACCAAACGTATGCCTGCGCTCTCGTTTCGACGTATTCGTTCGCCCGTCCTGTGACTTCTCGTGCGTGTGTGGCGTGCTTCCTTCACCATCGTTGGCATACAACGGTGCGTGTAAAGCGTGTGTACAGGCATCCGCCTCGGAATACACCCCGGCCAGGTACACGTCACTCATAATCATGACGAGTGCGGGGAGCAACAAGACAAGCGCCGGGGCGGTGGGATAGTCCATCTTGAACAGCCACCCGATCTTCACCACACCCACCATGCAATACAGGGCTGCCTTGACATTCCGGGGTGATGGTGCAGGGGCATGCGGATATGTATGGGAGTAGGTGTGGGACTGTGTATGTGGTGTACGTGCTTCTGGATCGAATCGAGGGCGGGGCTGTGTCTCGGAGAGCGCTAGCACGTCTCTGTCCCCAGCTCGCTGCGTATGCGTATCTGGTTGCGTGTGCGTGGGTGTGTGCGTGGGCGTGTGCGTGGGCATGTGCGTGGGCGTGTGCGTGGGCATGTGCGTGTTCTGAGTGTGCACCCCCCCGGTACTTCGGTCATGGTGTGATTGCCCAGTGGTACGTTCAGATGTATCCTGCGCCAACATCTTTCGCCCCAAACACCAGTCCCACACCTCCCGCACGTGCGCCTGTACCGTCTCTAGACGACGCCTGTGTCTATCGCGTGACCCGTCCTCTACATCCCGTCCGGTGTAACATCTATCTGTACGTGCGTGCGTCGACTCCTCCAATTCCTGGTTAATTGTCCGTGGTGTCCTGCGCGTAGAAGATGTGTTGGGTAGTGCATTATCTGCATCGGTATCTGTATTCGTATGCACACGTGTGTCGGAAGCCGGCCCGACCTCCCTGGTTGTGCGCGGGCGAGTACTAGGCCGGAGGTTTGCACGAGTATCTGTGGAATATTGACGGGTATCTGTGGCATTTGCGCCCGATCCTGATCCACTATGGCTCCAATGGGGCCGCGAAGAAACAGACGGAGACGTGCCGACTCTCCGCTTCTCTCCTTTGTCTTGTGGCGCAGACCGACTGTACATACTGGCACTGGAATGTGAATATCTTCTTGTGTGGGTGTGTTTGGGTGTGTGTGTAAGTGTAAGTGTATGTATATGTGTGCGTGCGCGTGTGAGGGGTGACGCTGTGTTCCTATCACGCACACATGTGCCGGAGGACGTACTACGAGTATTCCCAGGTGTGGGCTCAGTGTGTGTAGGTAGATCATCGTCACTTGCCTTATATGGTGCAGAGTTGGAATGCGCGGCAGAATCGTCATACGAGACCAAGGTTCGGGTAGTGGGCAGCGAGGGACGTGCGTATGCCGCCAGCTGGCCCTTGTTGTCATGGGAACCGCGGTTGGCATGGTTACCGTTCGAGTGTCTGTACGTATGCACATCCCGGGAGTCGCTTTCCGAGCGTCGAGCTACACGCTTCCTTGGACTGTCGCGCATCGAGTGTGTGTGACCAGTCCCTTTCTCCTCCGCCGTTTCCGCCCCACCTGCTCTACTTGCACCTGAGCTCTCCTCGTTCTGTTGTGTGCGAGTGTGAGACGGTTGTGATTGGTGTTCTAAAGAGAGCCTCGCCACACTCTCCAACGGCTGCGGTTGCGATGGGTGCTGCTTGGGCTCCTGCGATTGTGATTGGTGTTCTAAAAATAGCCTTCCCAGTATAGTTGCGGTTTCCTTTGCGGTGGGGCGGTTGTTGGGATTGCGTGACAGAAGACTCCGTGCCAGCGCTACTAAAGATTTGGATCGTTGAGTGTCCTGTGCATAAATTGATGTACAGAACAGGAGCGGTTCAATGTTAAAATCACAATTGACAGTACAAACACGCTATTCATGGATGGAAGTAAGTATGAAAATGTTAGTGAGTAAGCAATGCATGATGATTCAGCGTGTACAAATAGTATGCACAGACGCGGGGTTCAAGGAGAGGGGGGCGGCGAAAGGTAGTAGGAGTAGATCAAAGGCATAGAAGTACATTAGATGAATAGTGGAATCAAGTCGATATGGGAAACCCTTGACACGTGACTATAAAGCTAAGCGGGCAATGCGAGTAGACGTATCGATGGCATAAGGTGATTCGCCGAAATATACGTATCAGCATCGCAATTTCAGGGCAAATTATCATACAACAGCACACACACTACCACAGTACCACGATATCACCGAACACAACTAGCATGGCACCCATATCCGCGACTATCATACGTATATATATATATATTTATATATACATATATATATACATATATATATATATATATATATATATATATCTACTATACTATACATATATACATACATACATACATACATATATAAATACATACATACATCCACACGTCCATACTTACATAAATAAATACATATATACATACATACATACATATATACATAATATACATACACACAAATACACACATGACAAAGACACACCGACTAGTAAATACGATACCTTGACCGTGTCTGGGTAGGTAATGGTTTGTTCGCAGTTCAGCATCTCCTCCGCTAGTTCCTGGGGAGAGTCCGCATCGTACTGCCACGGCAGTTTCCCGTACAACAGCACGTACAGTACTACGCCCACACTGAACATGTCACTCTGCGAATCGTAGGCCGTTTTGTAGACCCCCCCCTCGTTTTCAAGTAGCTCTAGGTGTGATAGAACGCGCAGGTGTACGAGTATGGTATGTTAGGTGGATTGGGGTCTACGTACATGCGTTTACTTAGTTGATTCACCAGAAGATGACAGAATAAATGACTAAACAATGCGGGGCAGAACCTGGAAAGTGCAGCCCAATACACAGCCGTGAGAGCGTGCTCGAAGAGGTATTGTGTGTCGGATATATGATGTGATGTGATGCACATTAGCGAGATGCGGAGATACCACTCTGCGAATGGTTTGTGTCACCAAAGTCACAGTCAAACACTATGTAGTGTGCTCAATGTGGGGTGGTTCTGTGCAACCATTCCAAACACTCACACCCACATATCTACTTACACATACGCACAATCACACATACACATGCACATATACACACACACGCGCCTACATCAACATGCGTACACCTACATACACACATACACACACACACATACGCATACACACACACACACACACGACACACAC